CATGCACAGCCCCCTTCAAAGAGAAAGACTTGATTTTTCAGCTGCTTCATAAGTTGTTCTGACAATGTGTTGAGGTCAGTGGAGAGACGTTCTCTCTCCAATCTACCGTGAGGAAAATACCCAGAGGGGTTAAGCACCCTAGACCCTGTCACAGAGCAGATGTTTCGGGTGGGACTCCATTCCAAGTCTCATCCCTCTGCATCTTAGTGATTTAAAGAATACTTGACTTTATATCAGCAAACCTGTGTTGGGATCTGTTTATTCATCACATTAACCAGTAACTAACTATCTCCCCTGAGACTCAATTGTCATATCTAGATGAACAGATGAGAGACCTAGCTCTGAATTACCTCATGAGAAGTAAATAAAATCATCAAAGTCAAAGTACCTAACACAGAGCAGAGAAATATTAGTTGAAAATGATACAGTGCGTGCCCGCCACTGCTGAAGACCCGAGTTGTGTATTCATGCATCCTGCCCAGACTCAGAGATTATTGTGTAGAAATATACAACCAATGTTAAAATTAACCAGAAACAGAGTTGTTTTTATTGGAATTCATCTGTAGGGAGACTATGACCTCTTTGGGGACCAAGCAGATGTTGTATTTTCCCCAGCACCTAATAAAGTAGCCACAGGAGAATGAAACTCAAAGCCATGTGCTAACAACTGGATGCAGGATGTGCTGGCAGGTGCGAGTATTTGGAAAGTACTTACATGCGATTACTGTTGTTTTTCCCCCTTTTGTGTAAGGGAAGGGCATGAGAGAGGAAGACAGGAAGGGAGGCTGGGAAGAGAAGGTATGGACTGAGTACTCAAGTGTCCCTAAATCCACATGGTGAGCTCTAATCCTGATATGAAGGTATTTGAAGATGGAGTCTTTGGGAAGTACTTAGGTCATGAAGGGGGGCCCTCATGAGTGGGATTGTAACAAGGTAGTCCCCAGAAAAGGGGGAGGTTCCAGATTCCCTGCCCCACCCAAATGGAGGGTGGAGCTGAGCAAGGAGAGAAAAAGCTGCAGAGGAGACTGAGGAAGGAAGGAGCAGGATGCAGAGCCAGAAGGAGACCTGGAGGAGGCACATGGAGCCAAGAGACACATGAAGAAACTGTGCTTGCCTTCTGGTCGTGGACTGGGTGACACAGATGTGGGTGAGACCCGTGGGGAGGTGACAATGGCAGCTTTTATCTTGATTTTGATTTTGCTCTTTTCCTTCCAGGCTTGTCTGGTTGTTTCTGACCCTTTTCTGTGGGTCCCCACTGGAAGATGTTTTAGACCTGTGGCAGGCCCAAGGCCTTGCTCTGGGCCAATCCTGCTTGGGTGGGCTTTTACCCACAAGGGGACGGGTAACTTTGGGTGCTTGATTTAGAAACTAGATTCTTTGCCTTTCTGTATTGTTTCTTAATTGTATTAAAGTTCCTTCCCATTAAAGTCTCATATGTTTTGTGTTGATGCGGCAGATGGCAGAACCCATTTAGAGCAGGCAGGTTTTGGGGGGGTCTGGGGTGCACCTCTCCCTGCCATGTAACAGGAGCAGTGCCCTAACAAGAAGAGGGACTGGGCTTTCTTTCCACCACATCAGTATACAAGGGGATGGCAGCACATGCAGCTCAGAAGAGTGCCCTCTCCAGAAGCCCCCCACACTGCACCCTGGACTTGCAGCCTCCAGAGCTGTGAGAAATACCAACACATTTATGCAGGCTGTAAGCCAGCCCATGGCACTTTGCAAGCCAGCCCATGGCCAAGACAAGAGTCGACATGCCAGTCACTGTCTTCATGGAAAACCATTAAGGCCAGAAAATGGGTACTGATGCAAAGACTTTTTTTGATCATCTTTCTTAGTAAGAACATGCAAGATAAGAAAATTAATTCCTAGATTGGGGAGGACAGGGGCTTAGCCCTACATTGAATGGGACGGGGGAGTTGCAAGGAGAAGCAAGGCAGGAACATGCAGGGCCAAAGAGGGGCGGGGCTGTCCCTGAGTCCCTCCCTCCATACCCCAGACAGAAGCTGCAGTGGCCTGAAGGCTCATCGCCAGTATTGAGGACAAAACCCCAACTTTATGAAGTTACTCTAATGAATCTGTTAGTGTCAGACTGTGGGGCATCCCAGGACTCCCCAAACCTGCACAGTCTAAGTGGAGGTTCTGCCATCTGCCGCATAAAGACAAAGCAGTCTCTTAGAGTGTAAGAATTTAAATAGGATAGTGTGCATAAAAGGAGAAGAAACAGTAACAGTTCTCCAAAGAAACTTCCAGTTACCCGTCCTCACATGGGTAAATACCCAGCCAAGCAGGGTTGGCCCAAAGCAGGGCCATTGAGACCCAAAAACTTGCCACAAGTCTAAGGCGCCTTCAGGTGGGAACCCTTAGAAAAGGGTCGAGGTGCCAGGAGAGTCTGGGATGAAAGGAGCAAAATCAAAGTACAAGTCAAGATAAAGGCTGCTCTCGTCAGCCTCCCCGTGTGTCTTTCACTCATGTCTCTTCCAAGTGTCTCTGCATGACTCCACGTGTCTCCTTCTTTGTCCCCCAAGTCCACAGTGCAAGTCCAAGGCTGAATAGCGAGTGCAACCTCCTGCCCATGTCCGCTCCAAGTGTGCCCTCCATGTCTTCTCACCCCTCAGCTCCACCCTTCACCAGGTGGGACAGGGGACATGGAACCTCCCCTTTCAATGGCAGTTACACTCTAACAATCCCCCTTTTTGATTTCCACACCATTTCTGCAGTGGCAGAGATCTGGGGCTACAGCCTTAGGAGACAGTCTTTTCCAGGGTTCCACTGTGTTCAAGAGAAGTAACAGTCACCGGGCCCTGGCCATGGGTGGCCAGTGTGGCAAAGCCTCCGTTCCAAGCCCAAAGGGGGAAAACTCTGAAGGCATTTGTCAAACAAAATAGCAAACAGATGATCAGGAAATCCCAGCAAGAGAATATCTTGCAACTGGTTCTATTAGTTTCGTATCATTTTCTAATGAGCGTGGGCTCCTCAAACAAGTGACCTTGGTGGTTATCACCATAGTAACAGCTCACTTGCCAAACTTCCTGTGTGGGAGGAAACATTTTGGAAATAAGGAAAGGCAGGACTGAAGAATGGTTTTTCTCATTTGTGACCCTTCTCCTCTGCAAGTCATACGCTTTTTCTGAGCACTGCTGTCTCCTGAGAGAACTGTGCACAGACCAGGGTCTCAGCTGCGCAGTTGGCAGAATGTACCCACCACACATTTTCAGAAGTAACCCCAAAAGCGGCTTTCTCTGAATTTCACACAGTGCTCAGTATTTCTATGTTCACCATTGCTTTCATTAACAGTTCCCCAAAGAGGAAAGCGAGCCGTCCTCCTCGGCTTGAGAGACAGAGAGAGAGAGACACACACACACTGCCGGCCAGAGTGGGGGGACTCACCTGAGCTTCACAGAAAATGGGCTGCCTTGGGCTAGAAAGTCAGGCCTAATTGGACTGACTCCATGTACCCTCCACCTTCCTGCAGCCCAACCCTGCCCGAGACACCACCACAGCTGACGTGTCTCCTCCAGCCTCCTCCAGCCTCCTCCAGCCTCCTCCAGCCTCCTCCAGCCTCCTCCAACCTCCTCTAGCCTCCTCCAGCCTCCTCCAGCCTTCTCCAGCCTCCTGCCATGGCCTCAATGCTCCTGGGAGTTTCCCCCACAGCAGACCTGGGTCTGGGCTGAGGGGACCGAGCCAGTGTGTGCTAGTCTAACCCTGGAGTATCAGTTGCATCATGAGCTCAAGGCATGGTCTATCCCACCACGTCTAGGGACAGAGAAGCCTTTTACAGGCCCACAAGGGAACTTCTTTGGCTGCGCCCCGGAAGTGCGTGCCTGGCTGCAGGCCCTCCCTCGCGGCTCTCGGCTGTACCATGGGGTCCACTTTCAGCCAGAATCACGAGCCCAGCGTGCTCATTCCTTGGCCCGACTTCAGCCTTTCCCGCTAGTTTGGATCCCATGATTCTGTCTGTGAAAGAAATTTCTCTCTGCAGCATCCTTGCCTGACTTTGACGTACAAAGGTGTAATTAGAACAGCATGGAGCAGGAGGGACGCTCCATTTACCTCATCCCTAACATTTAAGTGCTTTAAAATATGTTTCTAATCTCTTAGGTGCACAGCGCCAAATTCCCTCCTCAGTTTTTCACATGCATGAGCAGATCCGCACAGACTAAGCCCCTTGGGTCTTCGGTTCTGCTTAGAAGTTCTTTTTTCTCTTTAAAGAAAACAAATATGCCATTAAAACGACATAGTGTACTCTGCATATTTTTAGGACAATTAGAGTTTAGAATTCCCTCTCCTTCCGCCCATGGCAAAAAAGTTTTTCCTTAACTGTTTCCTCGCCAAAAAATGACATTCAGCTGCAATACTTCGAAGGATGTTCTCTTTTAAAAAGAACCTTCTCACCTTAAATTGTCAAAGTACCGACTGGTAGACTGAGATGCTTGAGAGGCTTTGGGGAAGGATCCAGGCTCCCCTGTACCTCTGCCAGAAAAATCCTTCAGGGAGACCATTATTTGTGAATCTCATGGAAATATTTACTGGAAACAGAAAAGCCAAACTCAGAGATGGAGAAGCACAGGAGAGATGTTCTCCTGCTATGTGCTTGACTCAAATTGGGCACTGAGTTGGTGATTTTTTGTTAACACATCTGATGGTGAAAATGAAATCCGGAAGGCATGAGCCACTGGTCAGCCTCAGCCTGTGGGCCAGAGCTGCAGCCAGACCCAGTGAGAGCCACGGAGAAGTCCACGTTCCTGCAGAGGGGCCTGGAGCAGCTCAGGAGGGCAGCTCCTGAGTTTGTGCCGCTCCACATGCAGAGCTCCCCACCCATTCATCAGTGCTGCCGCGGCCACATGTAGATAATAACAGCCCTGTCAGTAGGCAAACCCAGCATTGCATTACACCCAAGCCCGATGCAAGATATCAGCCGCAGTGACCATGTCCTTTTACATTCAAGTTCAGTGGTTCCACAGCCACCAAATTAAAAGGAGTGATGGCAGCATGTTTTTCATTCATTGCAAAGCCTATCAAAGGATGGTAAAGGTCAAGCTCCGCTCCATCCGTGATTCAGGCAGAAATAAGATACAGAGTATGACTTGAAAGATGACCTACAGGCAGAGATGGGTTGGAGAACGCCTCTGGGGATGTCTCTGAAACCAGGAATTACCTTGGCGAATCAAAGAAAGAGCGCACCACTTCCTGGGGAAAATGTGTTTATTTAAATTAAAAAATACTGTGAAAATTACGAACTGTTAAATACAGCAGACAATTTTATACAACTCAATAGAATAAGAAGGAAGTATGTACATCACTTTTTAACAGGCGCAGATAGACTTGCACCAACTTCAGGATTAAGCAATGGAAAATGTGACAACGCACATGTCCGTCGCAGTAAAGTTTCAGAATTCAAGTGATTCCAGGCAAGGGGCCAAACTTAACTTGGCTTCTTTCACCTTAAACAGCCCCCTTTGGAGTAAATCCACATGCTGAATTTTAAAGAGAACGGAGGGCCCTTCCCCCCTAAGCATAAATCTCCTCTAGCACTGTGTTAGGGAGAACTGATGATCCAGCCCCGACACTGTTAACCCTTCCGTGGGAACAGTCAGCGTCGCTGTCTCAGCCCAGGGAGGGGACGGAGGTTTTTTGTGGTTTTTTTTTTTTTTTAAGTGTTTTTTGGTTTGGTTTTGTTTTCACTAGAATTAAAATTGACCTTTTGGTGTGTTTCTCTTCCTCCTTGTCTTCACGGGTCTAGAGGGTCTGCTGCAGAGCTGTTGAGCAGAGGAATACATGGCATTCCTGGCCCGTTTCTCTCCGTCTTCTAGCTCCCTTAGCTGGAGTGTTAACATTCCACCGCCCAGAGAACTTCGCAGAGTAAAATGTGGTCTCTGCCTCTTTGGTTCACTGCTGGGAAAACTGCAGCAGGAATGAGATGGCGATTGGCCCTGAATGTCCCAATTATGTGTGTTCTGAGTCTCAACTACTCCTTTAAATAGGCTGATCCTTTTTCAGGCAAACTGGCCAAGGGGGAGATAGTGTGTCCAAGCTTCCTCACACCCGGACACGCAGGATTTATCACAGAGTCCTAAAAATCTGAAGACATCCTCCCAGCCCCCTGGGGATCTAGATGCCTCTTGATGACATGCCCGGGACCACACAGCAAATCAGTTTCAGAGCTCACGACCAGGAAACGCCGCGCCTGGGCCCTGGCTTCGTGTAATCTCTGTCTGAGTGCGCCTTTCTAGGTCTTAGCTACGTGACGAAATACCATGTCGTGGAGGCCCACATTAGGTCCCAGTTCAGAAAACAAGGCTGGGAAAAAGCAGCAGCAGGGCTAAAGGTTTTGGCCTTGTTCAACCTCACCATCACCCCTTCTGGAAAGATCCAGAAGAATCCCTGCACAGCCATTCTGGGTGCAGGTTAGACTCTGGGGAAGCCCTTCAAAGAGAAGAAGAAAAAAAAAAAAATCATGCTAGTATGAAATGCTGGATGGTCCCAGGTCAGAGTGGATGGTCACAGGTCAAACAAACGGTCAAAATAGCAGACGATGTCTTAGCATCCCAACCAATGGTAACGAGTTTAAACATTGCATTATTTCCTGACAGTGTGCAAACAGACCAGGTACGCTCTCCAGCTTTCTCCCATCAAAAGTTCCCCATCAAATTCCACCCCCAACCCATAAGTCCTCCAAAAGTAACTCACTGTGTACTAATGCACAGATTCGTAGTAGAGGTACTTACAGCCAATCAGATCTAGAAGGACAAAGCTCTAGGCAAATTAGCAAATCAAAGTAGTCCCACAGCTTGTCTTAGGCAGTGGCAGCCCCAGGAGCCGGCAGATTCTGCGGGGTTACTGGGGGGCATCCAGTGAGAGAACAGCAAGCCCTGCCACATTCTGGATAGGAGCCCCGAACCCCAAAGTAAATGTCCACACTGCACATCTCGGGGCTGTCTCCAGGGCAGGTCCACACCACAGACACAGGGACTCCTCGCTGCAGCTGCTGGCTTGAGCTGAGCCTTGTTGCCCATCTGGAGGCTTGCCCGGGGGGGCTCTTCAAAGTGGCAGCTGCACAGCAAAAGTGAAACCAGACACACAGTGTGTCCTCTCTAAGGGTGCTGCTGATGGAGTCACCTCCAGGGGCCCCGGGGGGTGCTAGGAATTCTGGTGGATATTCTCTGACGACCCTTCGCTGCTCTCATTGAGGGGTGTCTCGGAAGTCTCCTCCAGCTCATCATCCGCCCCCTCCTCCTGGATGGTGAGGTGCACGTCGGGCGAGGACGACTCTGAGCTCACACTGTCTCCCTCCATGGAGCAGAGCGTGCAGGACAGGGCAGGCGCCACGCTCTCCTGCAGCATGTTCAGCATCACCGGCACCTGCATGGACCTCAGCCCTGACACAGTGGGCAGCGGCTTCATGGCCTCCCCCCAGAGCCTCTCCTCATCTTTGTACAGCAGCAGGATGCTGGACTTCTTCTCCCGCCTCTTGGATTTCATGTAGCCCAGCATGATGCCAATCAAGAAGATGCCGTAGAAGGACATGACAACCAGGATGTAGAAATACTCGTTGCCGTTGCCACTGCCGCTGCCCGGCACGTGGGACTCGAGGGTGCTGCCGGGGGCGGTGGTGCTGGGGGACGTGCTGTTCAGAGGCTCCATCTTCAGCATTGAAGCTCCGCTGCACAGCCGGGGTCTGGGGAGAAACCTGCAGGTTAGAACCTCCCTGATTCAGCAGACAGGGAGGAGGAGAAGCACAAGAATCGCAGAGTCATCATTTCAAATAAAGCTTATAAATATGCAGAGAAATAATAACAATAAGAGGCCCCACCAAACAGTTAACAGGGCTTAGCTTTGGGGGAGGGGAGAGGAGCAGAGAGGAGGAGACTATAAGGGGCACTTTTGTATTTTAGTGTATCCATGTCCCTCCTATTTGCCTTTCATCAAATGAGCCCATAAAAAGCACAGCTTTTATAATTTAAAAAGGAAAGGATCCATGGAAGAGGGAGCATAGCGAAAATAAATACCATTCTAATCACTGGGAAAGTTTTTTAACTAGTTGAGCAGAAAAAAAGCAAGTTTACATTTTGCCCCTCGAACTGAAAACCACTTTTAATTCAAAATTAAATTTTCTTGGAATAAAGAAAGGACAACTTTATCCACTCATTGCTAGAATCCGCTTTCTTTTCAATGTGTCTGGGGACAAGACACCACCTTGCTCACTTACCGAAGGCTGGCAAATCTGTCCAAAGCCCTGAATTCCTAACCGGTCAAGTCCACGAGCCTCCTTCCTGCCTGCTGGGCTCAGCGCTCTGACAAGTCCGCTGCTGCAGTCGGGACATACAGTCAAGAAATGCATCGTCACGTGTTCCTCTGATTTACAACAGAGGTTGCTCGTGGCAGAGAACTCAAAGCGCTGCGTTCAACTCCCTGAACTTTGCAGCTGTGAAAAGAGCAAGACCAGGAGGGGGACTGCCCTCGCTCCCAGCGCCAGCCACGGTTCACATGGCCGTGAAGATGAGTAAAGACAAAGAGAAAAGAATGTGCCCGGCAGGAAACGTTACCCCCAATGTCCACTCTTCTTGGAAATTAGTTCACGATTCAAGTCCCTCTTGGGAAATAACCAGGATGTCGTCTATAGGTTTTCAGAGATGATCAAATACCATAATCTGGATAAAACATGGTTAGAAGCTAGGACAGGATTTACTGTCAAGGAACCAGGGTTTAAGTTTCAGCTCCTCAGCTAACTATGCAAATTGAATAAATCCTCACTGAACCTTTCCACCCCTCAAGTTCCCAATTTCTGGGAAATTTGGGGTCCAGGGGACAGGGGAGAGTAACTTAGCAGGTAGAATTATATGAACTGTGTGACCTTTTGCGTCCCTATCAGTTTAATCATTTTAACATTTAAGGTTAACTGGTGCAGGTGAGCCCTTAAAAAAAAAGAGAGAGAGACTCTACCTGGCTTTTGCATCAAGCTCACAAATCTAATAAAAAAAAAAAACAAAACAAAACAAAACAAAAAACCTTCCAGATGTTTCTCAGTAGTCTGCATGAAGGGGAAAAGAGTCACAGGGAGGATTTGCTCCAGTTCTGCTGCGCGTAGCTATTCCCAAAGCATCGCTTGGAGCCAGTTCACATGTCTCTTTGCTGTCTCTAGCAGGTCAGGGAGGAGCGGTAATTCTGGTGAGCAATTGAGCGCAGTATAAGTTTTTAAAACCTCCATAGTCCCTGTGTTAAAATGGTTGTCGTGATCAAAACTGGAGAAGGAATTGAAGGCTTTGATGTCAGCCCATTGCTCTCAGGATGCTCATTCTGAGAGGATGGAAGTTGAGGAACATTGGGAGGGGTGATGCCCCCGGTTGTCTGTGGCCTGTGAATTGCAGCCAGATAGTCTTGGGGAATCCACTTTGAAGAAAGCACCCCTCCAGGTTCTGCTGTGGTTAACTTGAAGCTGAGGGGAGCATGCCCATGACCCCCTACCACATCTGGAACACATCTAGCCAAAAAGCACTTGAACTTTCACTATAGCTGCAGGAGCCCACGAGATTGCTGTCTGGCCCTAATCCTATTAGGACACCTGTGAAAGTGCAGGATAATGAGCCCAGGATGCTGTTTTCCCTGCTGGTCTCCTTTTCCAGTTTGGGCTGTGGGCACCCATCCATTCTAAGCTGACAGTTCCAGTACCAAGATCATCCATACACTGGAACTTTGTTCACGCAGTAATGTCATCGCCGTCCCTGCAGCAGTACTTTAAAAGTCTACAGATACCTTGGCCGAGACAGACGTGGCCTTTTCAACCTATTTTCATCTGCGTATCTGAAGACTCCCATCTTCAGCTATACCTGCAGTGGGGTGGCAGGGATCCTAGCACAAAAGAGGCCCATGAGGGTTACGCTTGTGAATTGTTGATCCCACTATAGCTGGTTATGTATCCAGAGACATGTGAGATCAGAAATCACCTAAGGATTGTCAAGCACAGTCAACTGGAGGCTTTAGAGAGGCACTGAGGGCATGGGGAAAGGAGCTTTCATATGTAAAGAGCAAGAACAAAGCCTGATGCTAGGAAGCCAAATGAAAGCTAATACTTCAAACAAGATCAGTCCCCAGACCCGAACAAACAGTCCCAAAGTGTAAAACCCAGAAAAGACATGGATGAAACTAAATGAAATGCAAAGGACAAAGCAACTCAGAGACAGGAAGGACAAACTCCAAGCAGAAACCAGGGAGGGAACAGTCCAGGTGAAATTCTGCTGGATTCCTGCTTGGAGTCCCTCTCCCTCTGGGACTCCATGCCGACCTTGTGCATGGATGTTCCTCCTACAGCTAAAATAAAATGAGCAGGTAAAGCTCTCAGTGCTCAGGTTGGCAAACTGGACATGCTCAGTCTGTCCTGCTTGTCACTGTTGAGAGTGCCCTGTTGCTACAGGACTTCAGGTTCTGATGTATATGGGCCTGTTTCCAGACTTTGCATTATTACTTCTTCCCTTTTTTCCTGGCAAAAAAAAAAAAAAGGAATTTAAGGTATGGATTTTGCAAGCTTATCAAACATACCTACACTCATGGCAGTCTTATGAGAATTAGGGCAGAGGAATAGCGTATGTGGTGAGGGGGAGGTACACGCTCTTAGGGACATGAGGGCTGCAGGTCTCGAGAACATGAAGAATAATGCATCACACCCACTCTCCACCAGTTTCAAGAGTCCACCACGTAAAAGAGATGCATGTTATAATTATCTCCTCCTGGTCAGTGGCTTGCTCTTCCATTTTCTTAACAGTATCTTTTGAAGAGAAAATGTTCTTAATATTGATAAGGTTCCATTTTTAAAAAATATGTACAGCTTGTGCTTTTCTAGCCAAAGAAATTTGTGTCTAATCCAAAATTACAAAAATTTTCTCATATTTTTCTTCTAGAAGTTTTATAATTTTAGCTCTTAGGTTTAGGTCAAGGATCATTTCAAGTTAATTTTTATACATGGGGCCTCCCCGGTGGCGCAGCGGTTGAGCGCTGGGTTGAGAAGCTGCCCGCAGCCTCTGCAGCGCCGGTTCGATTCCCGGCTGCTCCCCGGCCACCAGAGGAGGGTCCCACATGGCGCGCAGACCTCTCCTGCCGCCCGCTGCTCCCCTCAGCAGTGTGCTTCGGTCCTTCTGCCTGCTCTGCTCCCTGCTCTGGCTCTGGTGAATTCTCTCACCCTCCCGCGCTTCTGACTGTACCCAGTGCATGTATAAACAAAACAAACGAACAAATAAATAAATAAATAAATAAAACATGCCTCTATAAAAAAAAAAAAAAAAAAAAATTTTTATACATGATGTTAAATTTGGGTCAATGTATTATTTCTTTTTGCATGTGATACCCAGTGGTTTCCATACCTTTTGTTGAAAAATCGTCCTTTGCCCAGTGAATTACCTTGGGACCTTTGTCAAAAATCTTATCACTAAATATGTGCAGGTCTATTTCTGAGTCCTTTCTTCTCTCCTTGGTCAATCTGTGTATCCTTGCTTTAATGTCATGCTCCTTTGATGAGCCCATTTTAAACTGACATTTTAAATTCATCCAAGACATGCTTTAGTCCACACCTAGCTAAGTATCTATTTTATCTCAAGCCTTGGTAAGCTTCATCAACCCTGTGAGGTGTGTATTTTCATAACCGCCCCAGAGACAGGGAAACTGAAGGGCAGAGAGGCTGAGCAGGTGCTCACGGCCATGAGTGGCCATGTCAGGCTTTGAACCCAGGTCCCAACCACTATGGAATCCATTCTCTCCCCACTACCTTTGGCCCTCTCAATGGGAACCAGGAGCGGAACTCAGAAAGTGGAGAAAATAAATGATGGCATTTCTCCAACTTCTTTTTCATCCTCATAAAACTTACAAGAAAAAAATAGTAAGTTCCTAGATGGCCAGATATTCAAATGAATGTAAACATGCTATTACATGTTGCTTCTTCTAATTTCACACTATCTTATACCTGGGACACTGGACCACCCTTAGCATGTTCTAGAAGTTACCAGTGCAACAGTCACATTCTCATTCTATATCCATATTGCCCGAGGAAAACCATTTCCTTTGTGCATGTCTCTACAGCTGATGTCTGGTCTTCTTGTTTTCATTTTATTTTTCCTACTTGATCCTAATACACAACTTTCTCCAGAGCTTTGAGTACTTTAATTTCCTGATAACGTCATTTTCTCCAGATGACCCAGGAGTCCTGGCCACACATCTCTCAAATTATGTTTGCAGCTTCTGTGACTAAACAAAGTCCGTGCTGGGATAACAGCTCGGTGTTGAATCTCATCAGATTAATCCTAAGTCTGGAGTCCAGAGATCTGACCCAGCTCGGCCTCGCCCGTGCTACGTGACTGGCTAAGTTGCATAATTTCTCTGTTTCAGTTTTAGCCCCTCAGGCATGTCAAGAGTAGAGCAATTAACTGTCTCAAGACATTCAGAAACATCCCAGCTTCCACGAGGATCTCCCCTCCCGAGGAGACGGTAAGGAACAGCACAGATGTGAGGGACCAGGCTGCAGGCCTGGCAGGGCACTGACAAATGAAGCCTTCATGCCCACCCCTGGCTTTGTTTTTCCCAGAAACCCTTTCTGAAAAGTTGTGTCTGGGAACCCTTCTGTACTCATCCCTTCCAACACCCTGAGTCACTCTCCCTAGACGCATGCTTATTAGCTTTCCTAGCTCTTGGAATAAGACACGACTGGGTGTCTGGTAGGTGCTTAATGAGACTTCCAGATCCTCAAATCACAGCAGCTATCTCTTGGGGGATGTGGCTATAGACAGGTCCTGCTGGAACATCACCCCCCCCCAAAAAAAAATAAAATATGGAACAACCCAGAATTTCTGAAATTAAAGAGAGCCTGATTATGAGTTGCCATTAACTTGCCTTTGTTATTTATTATTCAAACATTCTTTTCACCTGATATTTATTTAATAAATGCTTCTGTAGAGCCTAAAGTGTCTCAGGAACTGCTTTAAACACTTCACAAGTTTTATCTTATTTAACCTTCCTTAAATGGCCTATGAGATAGGCTCTGTGATCACCCCTACTATACAGAGAAGGAAACTGAGGCACAGTGTGGTTGGAGTAGCTGCCCAAGATCACACAGCTAGTGCGCAGCATTGCTGGCCCTGGAACCCAAAGCTGAGACTTTGAACCCAGAGTCTTTGGGTTTAACATACAGGTTTCCTGTAGTTATTGAGTGTCCCCAGCACAATGAGAGAGGCGGGGTTGGGGGAGAGGGAGAAAGAAAGAACTGTGTCTCTTGCAGCCTACAGCTTGTTGGACACAGAAGACAGCAGTCATACCCACATAGTCTGAAATAGTCTGAAAGGCAAGAAACTGTGCCCAGCCCTTTGGGGAGAACTTGCTAGGTTGGGAACATGCCCCCAGAATTTGTTGTGGGCTAGATACAGAAGT